GCAAACGGAGAAGAGGTGGCTTCGCTTCGCTTCGCCTGTACAAAGACATAAAATGTAATCACACTGTAACCTGAATAAGAAATCCAACTTATTGAACTTTTCTGAACATGGTGGATGTTCATCTGACGATATTTAATTACTGCTGTGGGCCAAAACAGAACAATGATGAGATGACGCAGCTGTGTCACACACGTCCTAATCGATCTGGGTTTAAAATGATGTCTCCACAAAGGGCCCGTTTTGATAAATGTCTTCTAAATTATGTCTTTTGTTTCTTTTCTCATGTCTCCATGTAATCTCTGGTGGAAGGGATTAGGAAATGGAGATCGCTGGTCTCTCACGCTGGTGACTGTGGGTTTATAATCCATAATGATCGATCCAGTAAGACCTTGGTGGCAACCTGAACGTCTTCACGACTATAACTGTGGGTCATTTATGCCAATAGGTCTGCGACGCAAGCTTTTTCATTAACTTATCTCCTGACCTGGTCAAGAAACTCCACTTCAGAGCTAAAGCAATACAGTTATTAGCTTGAACCTAGACCTCATCCACACAAACGACCTCTCACTCTATTGACCACCAGAATAGATCCAAGCCTGATTTAATGTCCATTCACTAATTTCAAAGACGTTTAATTTGGTTAGTGCACTTTTAAACTTTTAAGGTTTTTGAAGCCTTACAGCTCTTTTAGCGTCTGTCCTTTTCCTTGTTTTTCTCCTCACAGCTGCCACATTCAGCCTAGTCCCTGAGTTGTTTACACTGTAAGAAATGAAATGTTGAATTTACTTAATAAAACTCTGTCAACTGGTTAAATGTAAAGAGCTTAAATGTAAAGAGTAATATTCATTATTAAAGAAAGACTAGGCAGTTTAGCTTGGTTTTAGCACCCCCTAGTGTCCGTTATTAATTCTCCGTGGTCAAACCAAAAGTGAAACTTATCTTCTCTATGTGCATTCGTCTTTTTAACGCCTTAGCCAGAGTCATGCTTCTGCGTCTGCATCAGTGTGGAGACACGCAACGCCATTATCCGTCCTCGCGGGCCTGCTGGAGAGCCCTCGCAAGGACGGACGGAGTCGAGCTCCCTTTTCTAAACATCCGTCCGTCGAGACGGAGAAAGCAAGCTTGTGATGGGTCAGGGCACCGCTGTCATCTACACCGCCACCATTGCGCCCTCAAAAACATAAAGAGAGCCGAGGATAACTAGCGGCAGACACGGAGAAGCTTGAAGAATACCTCGCGAAAAAACTCTAAAAACATGAATGTTTAATTCCCCCGTGACTGGAGGAGTGAAAAGATACGCAGCAACTGTTTTATTTGTGGACGGAAATGACAGGAAATGTGGGTTTAGAGATGGCGAGCGCATGAAGAGGTGGAGGAGAATGAGAGACAAATTCATCTGTGTTAAAAAGTCTCTTATATACAAAAAGCACAATACAAACACACTAACTTGGACCAGATACATGTCAGGATACCACAGAACAGCGCTACGCCCTCTGTTGTCCTGGCGGGGAATTGCTTTGCAACACTCCCCAGGAGACGGAGAAGTATGAGGTCTCTCACTTTTGGAGCTGAAGGAGAAGCATGACTCAGGCTTTACAGCTGAAACGTCTCCCCAGCCTTCTTTTGTGTCTACAGGAGTGATTCATCACTAAATTAAACAAATCAGCTGTGTTCATGATCTAAAACAGGCAGGAAATGTGCTGGAAGCTGACTGCAGCACCAGGTATGCCAGCTCCGTTGTTTTCTAAGTCCAACAGAACGGACCGGCACTCTGAAGTTGAAAATGTGGTATTCTGGCCACAGAGGGCGGTGGTGGTCTGAGTGACATTTCATTAACCTGTAAAGGGTCACTTTAGCACACACTGGCTCAAGAATATGATTTAATGATCTGAAAAAGTTGGTAACCATTTAAACATTGTCATGTTAAAAGCAGGGCTGTCTAATATTATCGGTCTACCAATAACATCGGTCAATATTGGCACTGAAATGGTAAATCGAAAAATATCCGTACCGATTTTCAGTCTTTAAATGACCATTTTTACACACCATACACACATCATACATCAAACTCTTCAGCTACTTATCCCCTCGCTCATAATGTTAAAATGACAGAGCAGAGGTAAAGTGTTGAGATGTTTTACTTTATTTGGAACAACTTGTGAAGTAGAAATTATCCCGTGTGGTGAACGTACTCTGTACTCACAGCACAACCACATAGCTAGCTATCTAACAAACGACTAAAACAAAAGCAAGAATCTTGCTTTTCTTATCTGAACATCTTTATAAATGTTTTCTCACCATAGCTCCAATGTACAGAAATAAAATACATGACTACCTATTACATGCACAGGGAGAACGAGATTCAGCTGCTGTTGGAGACTAAATAAATATAACACATTTCCTTTTACTGTTTTAAATTAGTTGTCATTTTGCACAAAAATGTTTCAGATTGTGGCATGAAAGCAGATATGATGTCAGTAACCTAAAATGTTTCAGGTTTTCTTTTTGTACAAGAGGGGGACCCAACACATCGGTATCGGTTTATGTCGGTGTTGGGTTAAGAGTCAGATAATAATCGGTATATTGAATATTGGTTAAAAATGAAGCCAATCCCAAGTTAAAAGTAGATGTGTTTTACTCTTTACATGATTAAAGCAACTAGGTTAAGGGGAAGCAGTTGACATAACTTCAGAATTTAATTTCTTACAGTGTCGTTTCTACTTCACAAATCTACAATGAAGCTGTTTTTTCCCCGCTGATGCTTTGAAATGCTTCATTTAAATGTCAGAATAACATTTTTTTTCTTAATGAGTCCTCCATTGTACATTTCAGAGATCAAGAGGAATCAAAATGTTTAGTTTCTGAGTTGTCAAACAGCGTCAGAGTCAGAAGTGTTGAAGTGGAGCTGAAATCCTTTTCTAATTACAGTAACTTATTTCTAAAGGAAGCAGCTCGGCTGGGATGAGAAGGGAAGTGGCCACACTGTAGAGCTCCCACAGAGAGAAAGAAAGACTGCTGCACACACACACACACACGCACACACACACACACACACACACACACACACACACACACATATGGGCCACTAACCAACATATTTTTGTTGTTTCAGCTATGTGAGGTGTGTTGGAGCAGGGAAACATCCAACACATGCTGGATAGTGGCCCTCCAGCATCAGGATTGGGCTCTCCTGTGTCAAAGGCTACTTTAGCATCACTTAAGAGTTTTAAATCAAGGTTTCATTCCATTCACTCCATCTTCAACATGGACTCTTGGGGTTTCAGCTCAAGCTAGAAGATCTGATGGTTGCTCATTCCACAGCGGCACTAAGGGAAGTTGAGTTTACCACGGTGAGACTAAGAATCCTTTTAAAAATCCAGTTAATTTAAAGAGGATTCACCATAATTAGAAATAAGAGGACAGCTTATCCTAAATCCTGTTTTAATTACAAGAAGCACACTTCTGCTTTCTCCTCTTCACCTTTGTTGTGTGCAAACAAGGAAACACCCAACATGGGTCAGTATGTTACGTCTTCCTGTATTTGGTGGAGCAGAATGCTTTTGGGACAGCTCCAAGACCGTCAAACACACCCTCTGTCACACACACACACATCATGCTGGAATCCTTCTATTCTCCAGTGAGGCAAACCCAGTCCCACCACTGCTCCCACAACACACACAGCCTAACTAATGGCAGCTGATACTGCACCACAGCACCCCTGAACAGAGCCAAATCCATACATCAGTTTATTATTGGCATAGCCTAAGCTCAGGCTCAGCATATGCATGCTGATTTAACAGTTTGCATTTATGCAAAGTGCAGTGTGTGCAATAAAAGGAAGAAAATTAATCGTTAAACCGCTTAACGTTCCGTGATTTATGTCCATCCGGTCCTGTTTCATAAGGAGAAGCTGTTGCATCCACGTCCAAGTTTGTCCAGCATCGGCTGCAAGGATTTCACCGTGGTTAACAGTTCAGCCGGGGGCCAAAACATAATTAATTTGGTGGGATCTGGATCTGGGACTTCTGCCATCTGGTAATTGTTTTTTATATCTGAAACTAGCAGGCGTGGACACTTCTAAATCCTGAAGGAGGGGTGTGTGCTGACAATGAGTCGGCTTGTGACGGGGAGGCCGTCTTTGGTGAAAGTCCTAAATGGAATAACTTTAAAAGGGAACAATATGACACCTCGTTTGCTTTGATTTTGGAAATAAAATGTTTTAGCTCCATATTTTCACCATAGAATGTGTCCAAACAGCCAAATGCACTGAAAAATGAGTTTAAAATTAAAAACTCTATTTGGCTAAATTGTCCTTGTTGGCTGATTGATCTTCATTTATTCTGCTCGTTGTTTTCCATTCAACCGTTTCCATTCATAAAATGTCATCATACAACAAACCTGCAAAAAACACTAGCAAATAAATCCAACTTTAAGTTTTAAGAATTCTAGCCAAGCAACATTTGCTTACCTCACTGGTAACTTTTTAACTCAAAACAAGGAAAATTGGTCATATTTAAGAATATTTACTTCATTTCAATTAATGCTGTTTTTACAGAAAATGCTTTTTTTACACTAAAAATAAGATCAAATATTTAAAAACAAGTCTTGTTTTTACTTGAAAATCAGTTTTTCTGTTGGATGTCCAGCTAAACTTTTAAATATGTTAGCACACACATAGCTTTCCACAGCAATATTATCGAAATTTGCAGGTTTTAGCTACTCTAAGACTTCAATCCTCCTAGTAAAACAAAAATAAATGAGTGTCTTGATATTTTACATTCTCTTTGCATAAAGTTCTGAAATAATCAGAATCTTAGAGGATTGTGACAGAAAAGACAAAAAAATCAGTTTTGTGAAAATGCATTAAACAAGGTTATAATTATGTGTCTTGCACACTTTGTGCAGGCATCAATAGAGGAAGAATAAAAGATATATGAAGAAAAACAGAAACAGTTGTAAAGGACAGAAGTGAAAGGCTGCAAACACATGTTGCCTCCTACCAGAGTAGGTGAACTGTAGCCTTGGCTGAGATGCTCTCCAAGCTCCCGTCAGAGTGACTCCGAGGTGGGCCAGCAGGACCGCTGTCACCAGCCAATACCTCTTCATCCCCATCACACACTCTGATTCAAAGTCTCACTCTTTTAAAACAAGCCCCAACTCCTCAGATGTGTCCCTACAAAACCAAAGTCTGAATGCTTTCAGGGTGTGAAGTCCAAGTCGCTGAGATACTAAATCCAAACACTCTCAGCAGTCCACGCGTGTTCGCCTTGAGCAAGTCCAGATCCATCAAATTATTTACTGCTTCTTCTGAGAGCAGATCTCACACAAACACTTCAGTCTGAGTGTTTGGGAATTGTTTTGTGTGTATGTGTGCGTATGTGTGTGTGTGTGTGTTTGTGTGTGTGCGTGTGCGTGTGTGTGTGTGGGCTACAGAGATGAAGAGGAGAATGTATTCCAAGAAAAGACTCTCTGCTGCCTCCTCGTAGCTTGACAGCTCTCTACTGTTCATGTGTTGTCCCGGCTCTGCTCTGTGTGTGTTTTCTCTCTTTCTCTCCCAGAAAGGCGGAGAGAGAGAGAGAGAGAGAGAGAGAGAGAGAGAGAGAGAGAGAGAGAGAGAGAGAGAGAGAGAGAGAGAGAGAGACGTAATCCCAGATCTTAGTGACCGCCCAGCATATACACACACACACACACACACACACACACACACACACACACACACACACACACACACACACACACGTAGACAAGCCTGTCTATTCACCACTCTTAGAAAACCTAGTTAAAGTGGAAATGAAACAGACAAATCAGCTTTCATCTTTATTCAAATTTCACACACACACACACACACACACACACACACACACACACACACACACACACACACACACACACACACACACACACACACACACACACACAGTATTTCCATTATCGCTGGGTGTTTTTTTAGAAGAAAGTTTATTACCAGAACAAACTATCACTATTTATTTTAAAAATGTTCAATTACAACAAAATGACACAAACTACGCTCATAAAAATAAAGCTGTTGCAAGTTTAAGAACACAAATCAGGACAGAAAATGTTCCCAAACCTGGAATATTTAGACACATACATGTGTGGAAAAGAAAAGCCATGAAAGCAGATTTAGATGCTGAAATCTGCCTAAAGATCTGAAATGTTGAGCTTCATTTACCAAGTTGTGTCAACAGGAGAACTGAAGAGAGAGCTGAGTCGGATTTTATTATCAATCCATGTTCCTACCCTCACCAATAGAGCTCCGGACGTCACGTGACTCTCAGAGAGTAGACGCCATGTTGGCAGGCAACAAAGGTAAACAAAATGAAAGGGATCGGCTTGGATTTTACTTCGTCGGAGTTTACTTCACACTTTAAAACCGAAGAAATCATTTTATATAGTCAGAAATTAAATAGACTAAACATCTCCGACCCTTACCGTGCCCCTGGGATACTTTTTAAAAACGCCAGAAGCTGTCGGAGCGGACTTCTTACCGGACCTGGCCGGGGAACCCCTTGGGATTTCCCCAGAGGAGCTGGCCCAAGTGGCTGGGGAGAGGGAAGTCTGGGTCTCCGACTCCGGATTAGTGGACGAAAATGGATGGATGGATGGATGGATGGATGGATGGACAAATAACAGATTTACATGTAAGTAGTTTAAATAGAGTGCTGTGCTGTTTGAATGTATAAACTGAACGCCAAGAGAAATCACTAGTTTGATTTTTTTTCCGTGAATAAAATAAATATGTCAGGCAGGAGCGTCTCAGGATCTGTCTGAGATCTGTCTCGGTGAGACAGATAATAGCAATCCAAAGTGCTTCTTATGTGTGATCTGACAATTGATCAACCATTGCCTAAAAATTAAATACAGCTTAGCCGGTTAATTGCTGTGATCATAAAACACGTAAACGGCAGCACGCAGAAATCACGAGGCAACGTTTTACGTGATGTTTACTTGTTGTTATGAGTAATAAGACAGAAAAAGCCACGCCAATATAAGTTTAGGAAGCCCACTAAGAATCGTAATAAAAGCATTTCAAATAAACACCATACACAGTTGAGGAAACGTTGGTTTAAGTACCTGATATGAAGTGGTCGCTGCATAAGCAAAATCCTTTACTCTCGGGGTCCCACAGTTTCATTTAAGCCCGGTCACTAGTGCGTTTAATTACAATGATCCAACGTTTGCGGCGCTCCGGATCTTGGGGAATCCTGTAGAAGGCTCATTCCTAATGTCGTCCGTGTCTGTTCTGCATCCTGGGGCACAACAGGAATCTAACATATTTCCCATTTGATTGAGTTTTCTGACAATAACAAATAGTCCAGCTGCCGGCTTCTGCCTGCCAACATGGCGCCGTTTCGATTTGAACTGTTGCATGCCGGGAGAAGTGACGTCAACTCCAGGAGCTCTATGGACACGAGCTTTGGGAAGTGACCAAAAGAACGAGATCGCGGATACAAGCGGCTGAAATGAGTTTTCTCTGCAAGGTCTCCGGGCTCCGCCTTGGAGATAGGGTGAGAAGCTCATTCATCTGGGAGGGGCTTCATGGACACGATGGAGGGACAATAGGTCTCTCACCTGGCCAGGGAATGCCTTAGGATTCTCCTAGAGGAGCTGGCCCAGGTAGCAAGGGAAAGGGAAGTCTGGGCCTCCCTGCTTAGGCTGCTGCCCCCGCGACCCGATGATAACGGACGGACGGACGGATGTCAACTGGTTCCACGAAACCTAGTTGCTTAATTGTAAACCCGGCTTTCCACTGGATGTGTAAGTGGCTCATAACAAGGTAAACGGGTTTTACCCCCGAGCTCCCTTCCCTCTGGGAGCGTTTCAGATGCTAAAGTGCAGCAAAAGTGTTCTACACTCTTGGTGCTGCAAGGTCACAAAATGACCTTATTTTGAAAGTTTCTGGATGTTTCACACTGCTTCCTGTGTTTGAATTCCTGTCTGGCCTGATCTGGACTGCTGAGCTTGACGCGCCCTAGATGCATAGTGCTTAAAAAAAAAGCATTAACCTAGTAGAGTGATGCATCACTACGCTGGGTTGCATCCAAAACACCACGCTTCACGGCTGCTCAAACTCAATCAAACTTTATTTGTAAAACACTTTTCATATACAAAAAATACAGGTCAATCACCCCATATAACCCATAATCTCATCATTTCCAAAAAAATATATAAAAATAATCTGCTGAAAACACGCCCATTCAACATAATAAACCCCTGTGTAGGGTAACTCTGTAGTGCCTTTTTTCCCTCCACCTGACTCAATCTTCATATAAACCCTCTTATCTCTATTAAGGTAGCGCGACTCGGGTTGCGAATGACCACAGTCACCAATTCTTGTCATGTGTCTATGCCTATGTATGTCTGATCTCAGAATTGTGTGCACTGAAACTCTAAGTTCCCTCTGGACACATGGTACTCTAAGTTCCCTCTGGAAATATGGTACTCTAAGTTCCCTCTGGAAAGTTAGTTGGTTGGTTGGTTGGTTGGTTGGTTGGTTGGTTGGTTGGTTGGTTGATTGGTTGGTTGGTTGGTTGGTTGGTAACAGCGACTAATTGCTAACTTTGCAGACGTTACGAGTATTAGGGACATTGCGCGACGCTTATGCATCCTGTGGAAAGGCCCCGTTTACAGTAACATACACTGTTATAGGTTTTTGATGTTAAAGGAAACGTATATCACTCTTTACAGGTTCAGTTGAACCAGTTGACATTACTTGGTCAAGTAAAGTCAACATTTAGTTTGTTAGTGTGTACTGGTTTTAAACATTTAAAGTAGCCAGAGGTGTCGGATCTAAGTTTTGTTACAGCAAATGTTTAGTTTTTTTGTTCTTGTTTGCTTGTTTTTGGATAAATTACAGCTGGATCCTCCTCCAGTGCTGCAATCTGTGTGTGTGTGTGTGTGTGTGTGTGTGTGTGTGTGTGTGTGTGTGTGTGTGTGTGTGTGTGTGTGTGTGTGTGTGTGTGTGTGTGTGTGTGTGTGTGTGTGAGTGTGTGTGTGTGTGTGTGTGTGTGTGTGTGTGTGTGTGTTGCAGTCTAATCAGGCGACAAACGCTGGATCTCACAATCTAATCCAAAACAAATCCACTTCTCCTTTCTCTCGTTATTCTCCCAGTTTCCACTCCTCGCCCAAAATGCAATCATTAAAGTCTTCTTTCCATTCTCTCGTATTTTCTTTAGAAACTGTCTCACTGGGGTACATGTGCATGGGCTGAATTTTTCACCGGCTCAAGTTCAATCGTAGGCTATAAGAACAATTTATTCATTCTCCGGAATAAATGATGAATTTGGGTTGCATGCAAATGAGAAAGAAGACACACTCTCCGAGGATTTTGGGTTTTGTAAATGATTTATTCTCCACGTTTGTTTATTATTTTGTAATTAGAGCATTTTTTTATAAACAGCCATTTAACAGGATTAATCTAAGCCCATGTTTAGACAACCGCACACTGGCTCTAGTTGGTTGTGGGTGTATTCAGACAAACCTGCTTTGTTACTGAAGTTATCTACGTGGTGAAGAAAAGACGAGGTTGTCTCGTGGTCAAACGAACTAGCGAACTCTCTCACTGGCATCAGCTGCTGCTGAGTGACCTTTAGGATGTTACAGAAGCTGCTTGTTTCAGTAACTGTGATTAAATGATTGCATTTATCATAATGGGGGAAAAAACTCAAGTCAGTCATTTATTTGTGCCTTAATTATTTTTAGTTTTGCACCATTTAATCAGCGAGATGTTCACCATGTTATTTATAACACTAGTAGTTATTCTAAATATAGAGAAACTGTTTAAAAAATAAAAAATAAAAGTATAATGAATATTAGTGATGATGCAAAACCAAAAAGCGTTTATGTTTACAATTACGTCAATAAAGTATGAAGAATTTCAGAAAAATTGAGAAAATGGTGCGTAATATGCATGTTACTACATATTCATTACTACATATTCATTACTATATATTGATTGCTACATATTCAGTACTACATATTCATTACAACATATTCATTGCTACATATTCATTACTACATATTCATTACTACATATTCATTGCTACATATCATACTACATATTCATACTAAATATTCATTACTACATATTCATACTAAATATTCATTGCTACATATTCATTACTACATATTCATTACTACATAATCATTACAACATATTCATTGCTACATATTCATTACTACATATTCATTGCTACATATTCATTGTACATATTCATTACTATATTCATACTACATATTCATTGCTACATATTCATTACTACATATTCATTACTACATAATCATTACAACATATTCATTACTACATAATCATTACAACATATTCATTACTACATATTCATTGCTACATATTCATTGTACATATTCATTACTATATTCATACTACATATTCATTGCTACATATTCATGCTACATATCCATTACTACATATTCATACTACATATTCACTGCTACATATTCATTGCTACATATTCATACTACATATTCATTGCTACTTATTCATAC